GAGGCAAGTGGCTTCCACTCCACCCAGCTTCCAGGTCTCCCCGCAAGAAGCTGCAGTGCAGCAGCAAGGCCAAGGTGCTTCGAGGGGCAACATGAGGGGGCAGCAGGCCTGTCTGCCAAGGGTCAACACAGAGCTCAGACTCTAGGACCCAGAGACAGGTGCCACAGACCCCAGCAATGCCTTGGAAGCTAGGCTTGAGCAAGGGTCAGAACAGGGACAGCTGCAATCAGAGTGATCCATGCTGATGCGGAGGAACATAGAGCTGTGGGAAGTGGGGGGCCCTCATTTTCACAGAACAGCAGAGAGTAGGCATTATGTGTCTTCTAGGGGATCAGTCATCCTCTCCCCACCTGCCTGCAGGGAACACAGAGGAAAATGGCTGATGACAAGCATTTGGGAGTTGTAAGCGGGAGTGGCTTTCTTGGGCATAGAGAGCTCCTTCCTGGTGGAGACTCCAGTTATGCCACAGGCACCCAGACAGTTCTACACCTTCAGAAGGCAACTCTGGTGGATCCCAGGCCAGGGCAAGATGGACTGTCAGAGCCTACTCAAGAAGAACATAGATGCTGTCTGCACCGGGAGGCCTAGAGCTTGGGAATAAGGATTCTGTCCAGTGCCCCCTTATCAGCCACAGTTCCACCTCTGTGAAATGGGGAAAAGGTCCTGGGTGGCTTCATCATAGCCTCTACAACAGGACTGCTTGGTACAGCCCCTATTTTAGGATGTGGATGCACAACTGACATCCTGCCCTACCACAGGGCAGTCGAGGAGTGTTTGGTGGTGACTTGGGAACAGGGAAACTATATGTGCATGAATGTGTGCTTCTCACCCGCAATTGAGACTTCTCAGCTTCACTAATAATCAGTTAAGTAGTTCTCACCTGCTTGGGTGACACAGACCTTCCAGTATCTGCCTTTCTCAGTCCCCACCCTACATGTGCCTGTGTACAACTCCACAGGCATCACTCAGTACCACACATCCATCCACATGCACATGCTCACACAGCCACACCAACACATGTGGAATATATGCAGGAATGACTACTCCCTTCTATGTACCTCAAAGCATGTTCTCATCTACATGCACATGCATGCATTCTTCTATCCCCCATCTCTCATATGGCCTTCCACACAGAGTGGTCAGCCCACATCAACTGCACATAAATCTCAGCAGGTCAGGCATTATGTCTCTCAGTGAGTCATGGGACCAAGAATCACCAGGGCTAGCTGCCTTCCAGGCCTGACTCATCATGTTCAGGTGGACTCTTGGAAGGCCTGGACCTGCTCCTACCCTCTGGCCACCATCTCCATGCTGAGATCACCAGTCTGGGTCTGTTAGAGATTCCTGGCAGCCTACATGTAGCCAAAGGGTGGAAAAACTGTGAAGAGTGAGGAGCTCCAGTCATCACTGGCCTTGGTATTAATCTGGGAGGTTTCCAGGAGAAGAGCTGTGGTGTGGGTTTAAAGCTGGGGAGAGGTCTAGAGAAGGTGGGGGTGAGTGAGGGGAGGAGTAAGTACAGTAAGTCTAGCTAGGTATAGTGGTGCACATCTGTAATTCCAGCACACTGGGAGGTGGAGACAGGAGGATTGAAAGTTTGAGCCTAGTCTGAGCAACCTAGCAACTTGAGACCCTATCTCAAACTGAAAAATAAAAAAGGGCTGGAGTTGTAGCTCACTACACCAAGGCACTGTGTTGACTCCCCTGTACTGAAAAAATGAAGAAGGAGGAAGAGGAGAAATCTAGTGATGGTAGGGAGTAGGAAGACAGAAAGGCAGACGGGAGATTCAGATGCCTAAGAAAGACTCCCTAATGCTCCTGCCCATAGCTACACACCTGGCCAAACCTTCAAGCCACTCTGAGAACAGCTCAGCCTCCTCAGCCTCAGCCTGGCATTTAGGTAGCTAGGAAACCCATGCAGTCAGCTCTTCTCCAGGGTTCCTCTTCACAGCCTGTGCCATTTCCTCATAAACAACAGTCAAAGGGTCATCAATGTGGGACTGGGTCTTGGCAACCCAATGCAAGCCTATTTCTTTCAAGCCATTTGGCACCAAGGCTCAACCCTGATATACTGTTCTTAATCTCCCCATGTGGGGCTAGATGGTGACCTAGGCATTATGGGACAGAGTCACAGCCCCAGTTGCTCCCTTTTCTGTGCTCAGATGCCAGCCCCTTTGCTTATCCATCCACTGAACAGTCACCATCTGAGTTTACCCTGTGCCAGCCTTTCAGGCACTTTGTATGCATATGTGTGCAGTGGTACTGCTTCTCCACCTAGACTTCAAACCCTGTCATGACGAAGGAGTCAGTCATTTGGTTCTCTGGTTCATGAGAAACCAAAGTGACAAGGATGGGACTGAGAGGACTACTCAGGATCCACCTCTGCCTCAGTCTCCCCCATCTGCACAGAGCAGACTGGCCCCTCTTTGTGAGCTGCCAGGCCCCAGAGCTGAGAGAGAGGAATAGAAAGGACAGTAAATTTGTGGCTCTGTAACTTTCTTTGGGTATGAAATCTCTGCTTACAGGAGGGGGCAGCTGTACTCAAGAGAAGGTAGAGGGAGGCCTCACTGAGCCTCCATTTCCTGCCTGGTCATGGTAAATGCTGCTCATGCTGCCCCTGGGGCTGGCTGTGGTTTGTCAAAACCAATTACTTCTCTGCCTCAGCCAAGTGCTTGAGGCTCCATGAATCTGAGGCAAGTGTCCCTGTGGCTGCTACTGATCCAGCGATGGATGGGTGTGAAGGAGGGGTAGGAATGCAGATTGGGGCAAACATCCCTCTAGGCCCAGCATGGAAACCTGCTAGGCCCTCCAACCCCATCCCCCATCTCCCACCCTGGATTATCCAGACTAACCCCTGGCTCCAGCTACTCTTCAGAGACAGATGTGAGGCTGGGGGAGGGGAGCAGACCTGGGCCAGCTCCATAAGCTACAATGGCTGGGTCCTCCTAGGAGCTGAATCCAGCTGTCGCACTGCAATGTCAGCTTCTTCAGGGATCCCAGAAGAGAGCTGGGTGGTCACCAGAATACTTCCTATGTGTATAAGAAAGGGGAGGGTCTTGTTTCAGAAAAGCTGGATAGACAAACCTCCCAGATTCCCAGGACAGAATCATTCAGGTAGATATATACTGCATCAAAGCTCAGGGTTCCCCAGTAGCCATCTTCAAGGAGTGGTGCTGTCTTCCCAGCAGGTTTTGGTCATAGCCTCTGAGACTCAGAAAACCTTCAGAGATCAGCGGGGCTGCCACCCTCAAGAACTCCTGGCTTCAGCCATGCCACTTTCTGACCCATCAACCTCTGCATCCCTAGGGCCAATACCTAGGAACAGCCCAGAGCTCAGTGGCTTGACACCTTATCCCTTCGCAGTCCACTGCTAGCTAAGCTCCCATCCTCCTCTCACAGGGTATGAGAGACAAGCTGCTGACTTGTGAACTGCCTAGAGAAAACAACTCAGGGCCTTCTGGGGTGTTAGGGCCCTTTCCTTCATCTCTCTTGCTTCCTCTTCATAGGTGCCTTGCAGCAGGTTCTCTGGACTTCTAGCCAAAGAAGCCACTACCTTCCTTGGCTCACAGGCCCTATTTCTTCAAGCCCTGCCCCAGCTTAGTGGTCTGGTTTCTTGCAGTGAGATATCAGCAGAAGATGTCATGGTTACCTGGGAAAGGAAAATTATTTACAACTCCTAGGCTAAGCCAAACAGGAAGATCACCATGGACATCTAAACTTCCCAAAACAATGACCAAGACCTGAAAGTACAGGCTATTGGTACTGGGAGTCACAAAGGCACCCGCATTTGGGGGCTCTGCAGTTTTCTTGTTCTTGCTCTCCTGAGATACACACACTTCTCATGAGGACAGGACTAACTTAATCCCCATTTCACAGGTGAGGGAATAGAGGCCCAGAGAGGCAGGACAACATGCTCCAAGTCTCACAGAATGCAAAAGCCCAGACCTGATATCCCCACCTATATCACTCTTTCCACCACCACCCACCATTCAGTTGCTGCCCATGGCACAGGCCCCCAGTTCAATTCCAGCTCTGCCTCACCTGCAGGATCACAGTGCATTCTGTCCTCAGGATTCACAGCTTGTCCCAAATGCTTCTCCCCATCTCCAATCTGTCCTCAGCCCCTGAACTGACCTTGGATGTGCCTTCACAGTGACCTCTTGGCCCAAGCTGGAAAATGCAAGTCCCTCTCCTCATGCCAGTACCATCAGCTGATCCTATCTTAGAGGTTCGCCACTAGACTCATCCCTTCCACATTCACCAAACTCCACAGGGACCTGGCTGCTGCCTCCTTGCTGAAATTATCCTGAAGCCTAGGCCTCCCAGCAGGCTTCCTGCCCAGCTTCCCCTGCTATGACTTCAGGAGCAAGGGTTAACTTCTTCCTCATATCCGGAGCACCTCTGGGTCTTCCTGTGTCTCATCCTCCCTGCTGCAGATATCTTTTCCTCTCCTCTCCCCTCCCCTCCCCTCCCTTCCCCTCCTTTCTTTTCTTTCTTTCTTTCCTGGGGATCGAACTCAGGACCTTTTGCTTGCTAGACAGGTATAGTGCCACTGAGCTACATCCCTGGCCCTGCTGCAGATATTTTGATACAATTTCCTCATAGGCCTAGGCAGCAGGAATGGGGGTACAGGGGGCTGAGAAGAACATCGGTCCTCAGCCCAACCTCAGCAGCCTTGAGGAGCCACTGGGGTGCAGGACCTTTCAGGTGGCTGGTGACAAGGAAAAGGTGGCCACCCTGAGCCAAGGGCCCTAGGACAAATGTCCTGGGGCACCCCCACTTCCATGCATGCCTCTCTGGGTTTGGGGGATGTGTAGAAAGGTAGGAAGGCCTAAGTTCAATCTGTCTCAAAGAAGAGTTCCTTCCCTGGATAAAATGGCTTTAGAAAAATTCCTCAAAGATGGACATTGCCCCCTTAGCCCCAGTGGAGAAGGTGCATGTTGGGTGGATTAGGAGTGAGGCAGTGGGACCACTCTCACCCAACTCTGCGTCTTCTCACATAGGAGGAGAACATTCCAGACCTTATAGTGGGAGAAGCTGCCAGAGAGGCCACCTGAAGGGCAGAACCCTGGAAGGAAAGAGGTGAGAAGGAGCTGGGCTGGGGAGAAAAGACGGGGTCTAGGTAGGGCTTGGACAGGCTCCTATGCACCCGCCTCTCTGTAACTAATTATGCTTGAGCAGCGGCCTCATCACGTTTCAGACACCCTCCCGGGAACCCTTCCCCAGCCCCATGCATCCCCGCTGGGTGCTGAGCAAAAGGACCATATGGAGGGAATAATAAGACAATTAACTTTCCATTAAAGAATAATATATGTAGGTTTTTAGGGAGGCAAGCGACAGCAATCCCTACCCAGTGGCATATTTTACACTCACCCCCCTCACCCGGATGCACCCCATATCTTGATCATCTGTGCCAGGAGAGAGGAGGGTACCAGTAAGCCTCTGCAGGAGGTGGCTGGATGGAGTTTGGGTTGTACAAGGAGCAAGTGTAGAGCCCCTAGGATTATAGTTCAGAGGCTAGAAGACCCTGGGGAGGGGAGGGGAGGGGAGAGGTCTGCCTCATTCTAATCTCTTGCTGACTCTCAGTACCTCTGGGGCAGCCTGTGCCAGTCCTGCATAGGTGGGGTCTGCCTGGCAAAGGAGCTGCTGCTTGTCTCTCACGGGCACATAAAATCACAGCACTCTGATGGAAAAATCAACTGTGGACTGTGGGGCTGGGGTCACAACTTCTGTGCTCCCCTTCCCTGATCCCACCCCCCCAGACTGTTTCTGTCCCCTAGCACCTTCCCCTGCCCCAGCTTCCTTACTCCTTTTCTGACCTAGCTCCTCTATGTTTCTGAGGTTCCCTGGCACTCATGGGCATTATTAACCCTCACCCAGGATGTTTGAATGCTCAGAGAGAGCATGCTCCCCAGATGGGGACAGACTACAGTCTCAAGCCAGCACCCTGGAGACCATGTGTGAACGTGCAGAGGTGCCAGGTGGGAAGGAGAGGAGGGGGCATGGAGAGGCCTATCTCAAAGACAAGTGCAGAGGGGCCTTGTCCTGCCATCTTGAGCCCCACAGGAAAAGGGCCCTGTACATGGCCAATTTCTAGCCTACGGTGGGAGCCACCTTCAGATATGGCATTCTGCAAATATTAATTACACATTCCTGAGAGCACTAAGCAGACAGGGTATAGGGATGGTCAGGGGAAGACAAGTTGGGGGAGGACTATGGCACCATCACTGGTTCAGAAATGTCATTCTTGGTGTGCCCCTGTACAGGGTGGGAGCCCATAGACATAACAGGCTTGAATCACCACAAATGGCCATAGAGGCACAGTAGGGGGAAGGACAGCAGAAGACTTGGGGCTGGGGATCACTGAATCCTGGGGTCCAGCTGTGTGAAGGTTGCTCAGCAGTCTGAAGGCTGCTCAGCAGTCCAAGGGAGGTGCTACCCAAGAGTAGCTCCTCTGCCTTCATACCTCTACCCATCTCCCTCAACTCAGGCCTGAAAAGGCTCCAGGATGGTGGAGAAGGCAGCTTGGTTTCCCCACCTGTATGACAGTGCCACAGGAATAACCAGTAGCATGCCGCAGGGCTAAAGCCCACCATGGGGCATGGGCAGCTTGGGATGTGAATGAGGCAATACATGGCATTTCTACCCTGAGTGGCAGGTAAAATACTGGGGGTTGATATGAACAGGGAAAGGTTCTTCCTATGGGACCAGATTTGGGTTGAGCCTTTCCAGGGGGTAGCCTGTGGCTCCCAGATATGGCCATCCCAGGATCCTTTCCCAGGTTGGCTTTGGGTAGGCAGCCTCCCCTCACTCTCACCACAGGAAGGTGTTTTATCAGGTCAGAAACCCATCCCAGGGTTGGTACACTTGGTGAGTCAAACACTTCTTCCTCATTCCCGACAATGACTCCTCCTTGCCCTGCTTTCCCACAAGGTCCTCAAATTGTTCCCCTTGTACTCTAGATAGTCAGAAGGGGTGGACCCCTGGCTGTACTTATCAAAGTGACCTGGGCTTCAGAGGGGAGACCTGCCCATCTCCACATCATCCCCCTACAACCCCAGGCGCCTGATGAATTATTCATCCTGATCAGCCTCATTATGTAAATGAGCTCAGAGCCTAAGCATATGCTCTCTGCTCTCCCCCCAGGATGGGTACAATATGGTGCTGGTGGGGGAGGGTAGAGAAGGGGCTCAGGAGACCTCACTCAGCCTCAGGAGAGTTGGAGGGGTAGACTGCTCAGGGTCCACATTTCTGTGGTCTGCTGAGGGCAAGAGTGGGCCAGGGGTGGGTAGGGCTGAGGTACCCAGGAGGGAGTAGCTCAGGTGGGTCTGACTCAAGTTTGAGGGTGGTAACATATAAGTAGCAGAGCACCCTGTGCCAGGAACTCAGGCTAGGCACTGGCCCAGGAGGTTCGATGAGGAAATACAATGGGGTCTTCACAGATAGACCCCACACCCCACCAAGGCATTCCAGGTTTCCACCCTGTGAATGGATCACAGTCTGCCCCAAGTCGTTCTCCCCTAGGTTGTGGTAAGGCCAGGAGAAGGATAATGCCAATGCAAGTAAATGTTCCCAAATGCCACTATCTGCAGTTTTTGCTTTCTGGTAGCTGCCAGCCCTCAAGACTCCAAGCTACTGGGTACAGGACAGCCTCTAAGATTGGGGCAGGCAGGGAGGGCAGTCATGGAGAGAGTTTTGACACTAGGATCACCCTAGCTGCAGGTGTTGGGGGCAGCTCAGAATCAGCTCAGGGAGGCCTGAGGAGGGATAGCTCCAGTGGGGACCAAGGCTGTCAGCCTGACAATGCTAGGTCCATGGCAGTATTGGCAGCTGTGTCAGGACTCTGCTCCAGGCATCCTCCTGACCTATGAGAGCCAGGCATGGAACTGGAAACATGGGCCCTCTCATGTACATTTGAAGGTGTGAGGGTCAGGATTGCATGTGGGCCATGAAAGGGGGAGGCCCCTGCTGGTGTCTTCCTGATCTTCCAGGGTCTGCACACTCCCTCTAGAACTCTATACCTAACCCCACTGCCACCCCACTGCATAACTCTCTAGAGTGCCCTGTGCCAAGAATTGTCAGCAAGAAGTAAGAGGCTGAGGAAGCAGGTGAGAAAAACTGGATCAGGACAGAGCTGCTGGAGAGCTGGCAGCCTTGGGCAGCAGTGGGGCTGCCAAAAGGAGGGGATGCCTGGTCAGCACTTCTCTGCCTGCCTGCCTGCCTGCCACATGGGGCAGAGCTCTGCTCTAGCCCAGCTCCCCACTGCCCCAGGTTCTTCCTGTCCACACTCTCAGGAGGGGAGTGCAGCCTGAGGAGGAGCAGCACCCTGGAACAGGAGTCAGGAGCCCAGGCCCAATTCCCAGCTCTGCCACAGTCACCTGTGACAGCTTTGTCGCTGAGGGGCACATGGGGATGAGAGTGGTAAAAGGCCTGAAATTTCTTTAGTCCCATTTGAAGGGGAGAGAACATATCTTAGGAGTGAAAATGATTAACAAGAGAAATTCAAATCCATTGCCATTTTTACCATCAGACTTGCTAGTCATGCTATGGGTTGAAAAGGAGCATCAGAGTGGGTCAAGGTCTCGCCTAGAGGAACAAGACAGGTTCACTAAGCAAGGATTCCACTTTGGTCTTTACCATCCAGGAAGATAACAGACCCAAGTCTCAGGCATAAATTGTGCATACTATTTTCTCACAGGCAAATATTCAGGGTCTGAGTTACTGTTACGCATAAAATCAATAACATCCTGAAGCTGAGGATTCAAAGCATGGAGGAGTCTTACCTGCTACATCCAATATCTGTACAAAACCTGGGAAAGTGGGCGATGTTTGTTTCAGGGAGCTTTCATTCCTTTATTAACCTATACAGCTGTACTTGGCAGTGCCCAATTAAGAGCCTGGTTAGTGCTGAGTGCTATTCCTGAGCCTAAATTGACTCCTGTTCTGGAACAGCATTTCCTACAGTGCTTTCTCTGGAAGTTCTGCTGGCTTCCAAGCACAGCTGAGTCATTCAGAGTTCATAGGAAGAGTGGGATTCAACCACTGCAATTTGAGCCCAGCAACCAGGAAAGGGAGGTTCAGAGAAACTGGACCATTACAGGAAGAACAGAAAGCAGGTTAGTGGTTCAGACCTCCAGACCTGGACCATGTTACCCCTTCATTAGCCACCTCTGATAAACCCTATTTGTTCAGAGGTCCAATATCCACAAGCAATGTCAATACACTGCAACCCCCATATTGTGGGCACCTACAGAAGCTAAGAATGGAGAAAAGACTGATGATGACCCCCATGGCCCTTGCCCCTCAGAAGTTATATATGCTGATCCCAGCCTTGACCAAGAGGGATGACAGAAACACTGAACCCTGGGCCTAGACTCTCAACAGAATCCCCATAGTAACTCATCTTTTCTATTGTTTTCAGGCCAACTAGCAGCAAGAGATCCCTACTAATCCCCTACTCAGTTCTGGCCAAGACCTCCCAGCCCAAACCCAGCTAAGAGTTCCCCAGGAGTCCCAGCCCCAGTGCTCCAAGAGCTCAAATCTCTGAGCCTCGTCATTTCCACATAAAGAGCAACAGCTCAGGTGCCTGTGGTCTGACAGCAACACATTTTGCAGCCTTCTGGGGGTGACAGATAGCTTGCTCTTCACATCACTATTTCAAACATTAACATAATCTCCCAGGATGAATGCGCTTGCTGGCGTCTAATCAATCACCCGTCCTGCACCTTGATCCCTCATCCCAAGGCAGAATGCAGGCTTGCCACTCCACACAGGTTATGCGCACTGGCTCCCAGGCTTATTTGGCCTGGCCATACTATCATTTTGGGGTTAGTCCCTTGGGGTTTCCCAACACCCTGCAGCCACTTGCCTGTCAAGGGCCTGGCTCCCACCCCAGGCACTATCTCAAGCACAGAGCCCATCCACAGGGGAACCTGGAAAGCCCCAACACTCTCCCAAAGGCAAGAATGCCACAGGGTCGCTGCTTCATCAACAGCTACCTTGAAAAGCACAGACCAAGACCTCAACAATGCCAAATCTTCCACACTGCTGACCCACTTGGAAGAGGGTCCCTGGGGAAAAGCAGGTAAACCAGGCTTACCTCGCGGAGCTGCTGGACACCTCCAAAGATCCGCATCACACCGTCAATCTCCTGTTCTAGGCGCCGGGCCCAGTGTTGCATCCTGTGTGCAGACAGAGGAGAGGGATGTCAAGTCCACTTGAAGCTGGGACAATCTAGCCCCTGCCACCCAAGGGGGTACAAAGCAGCTGTTCACTCAACTCAGTTTTTACTAGAGGAGAAAGAGAAGCAAGAAACCAGAGTGTTCCTGTGGTTGTCCTTTCAAGTTCAGCCCCAAGGGCCTGGCCTCTCCTCACATACTGTTGGCCAGCCAGAGAGGAAAGAGGAGTATATTGTAAATGTTCTGAGGAAGTTCAGCAGCTCTAAGAAGCCTGCAGGGAGGCTACTTTTCACTATGAAGAGCCAGCCCTTGATGTAGCTGCTCTGAACACAGGGACTTCTGGACACCAAGGAAGAAGGCAGGATGTAGCCAAGTGGGGCCTAGGGAGAAGAAGGGAACTCAGCTACCACCAAGGGATACTACCAAGTTCTGCTATAAGCCTGAACAGGTCCCTGATGCTTTGGGCCTCATTTGAGCAGTGGACATGGGGAGCTCCTGGCTCACAAAGCCCTCTGCTTGACAGTATCCTGGTGGACAGATGCTTATCTGAGGCCCAGCATAAACCCAACCATAGGTCCAGTGCAGATCATCCTGCCCCTTTCTGGGAGCTGTAGACTCATGAATGCTTCACCTAAATCACAAGTCTAAGCTGGTCTCCCTGGTGCCATCCTAAGGTAATTTTAATCCACTTGTGTCTCAGCTTCCTTTTCTGTGGGTGGGAATGAGAGGCTTATTTGGGGCCACCTCTTAAGGTGTCACAAGAACATAGGAGAAAAAAAAAAGAACACATTGACGATAGGCAATTCAAGGGTACTGCTCAGGAATATTTGTGAGTAGACAGGATGGACAGGTGGCCACGTGGCTCTGTGCTCGCCACTCCACACCCAGGAAAAGTGAAGGTATCTGGGGAGAGGCCTCAACTGGGTTCAAACCGGTGACCTTCAGATAGTGTGAGACACTCCCTGCTTCGAACAAGTCTCTCTGCCCTCATGTGTCTGAAAAGGCACCTCAACTTCCCCTTCCTCTGACATACTCCTATTCTGCAGGCTAAGACCTCTCTAGGGAGGGCCTACAGGAGAATTGCTATAGAAATTGAAATATACTAAAGGTCAAGCATAATGCATAGGGCACAGCAGGGATAAAATGACGTTTAGAAGTTTGCATCTGGCCCCAATATTCCTTCCTGAGCCTGCCATCTTCCCTAGTGTCACTTGGGAGCAGGACAGTCTTCTGGTTACCTGGGTCAGAAGTGCACAAGCATTCACTCTGGCCTCCTGTCCCACATCCCTCCTCTTGCCTTTGGCTGGGAGGCTGGGCACATGTCATTGTGTGTGCCTGGGTCGGTTGGCATGGGAACTCAGAGCAGGAGGCAGGCAGATCACTAATTGCAATTTGCCAAGCTGAATGTCAGGACCATGATGGGGAAAAAAAATCAACATCAAAAGATAGAGGTATTAGCTTTGGCTTGTTGCCTGAGCCACAGCCTGATTCCTACCTTAGCTCCCCACCACAAAGGAAACTAACCCTGAGTCCAGGTGGAGGCCAGGCTGCAGGCCGAGGTAGAAAGGGCAATCAGACTTCAGGGGGAGGGCAAGGCCTAGCCAGAGAATAGAGAGTTGCTTTAGCTGTCCACTGTCCACCAGATACCAATGTCCTGACCCTGGCTGTGGGAGGACTATGTGGTAGGTGGGTCTTTTGTTATTCTGAAAGATCAGAACCCTAGTGGCAAATACTAGGATGGACTGACACATAGTCCTGTGTCCATCTGGGTAGATGGCAGACAAACGAACAAGGTCAAGGAACTGATCTCCAAAGGGAACATTAGCTCTGCCCTGGCCCTGACCCTGACCTCAGCCATTCACCAGTCCAGGGGACAAAATGTTAATCACAATCCTTCCTAGATTAAAATATACAAGGGTATCCACTACATACAAAATACAGTGCCAGTATATCACGTGTTCTTTCACATCAACTCTCATAAAAATAGCAAACATTACCATCCCAACTTACAGATGAGGAAACTGAGGCAGAGAGAGTTTAATTAACCTGCCCAAGGTCACCTGTTCAGGAAAAGGTTGACAGGACTTGTCTCAGAAGTGTGCTGGAGTTACAAAGTTGATATACATGTGCTGACTGGTGTACTTCTGCCCAACTTGCCATCACCTAAGGGGTGTAAAGCTAGTCACAGTGGGAATATTTGCATCTCAAAAATCGGTAAATGCTAAAAATCACAGGTTTTTCTCCATGGAGAGCAAAGTGACAGCATTTACCAGAACACCAATTCTACCTCAGGCCGTGACTCTTCTATATATCTATAGGTCTCCATTTCTGGGCTTTCACAGATAAGTATAAGGAAATTAACTGGAAGAACAGACATGGATGCCAAGTTTTTATTTTGTGCAGACAACACATTATTAATATAATCACCATCATTTCATGTAAAAAGGCTGTTTCAACACTAAAATAATTTTTAAATTATTTATTTATTTATTTTTGGTACTGGGGATCAAACTCGGAAACTTGTGCTTGTGAAGCAGATGGCAGAACCACTGAGCTAAATTCCCGGCCCCTAAAATAATTTTTAGAAGAACCAAATATTACAATGAAGTCAAGTTCTCCCTCCAGACATACATTCTCCCCCCCCGCCATGCAAAGTCTCTACACTCAACCAGGCTGAGCCTCTCTGGACTTGCTGTGGGATACAGTGACAGACTCAATGTGACACACACACCATCTCAGGGTCTAGGGGTGGCCCTAGCTGAGTCTGGCATTGTGGGCCTGAGAGGCACACTGTCCAACAGCACAATGCCAGCGAAAACAAGTTACTCTGATTCTCTGCCTAAATCAAACCCAATTAAGAAGGCAATAGGTGTGTCCTAGAATTAAAAAGAACATGACAGAGAATTGGAGAATTGATTTCATTGCCACAGAAATATGATTTTGTGTGTTCTAGGGTTTGACCAGTGCCCCAGGGCTGACTCTAGAAAGTGACACATGGTCACTGAGGAGACCAGGGAGTAGCTATGCCTCCATTGGACAAGGTACCTAACAAGCTGAGTCCAACCTAGCTAGGCACAACTAGGCTCACTTCCACAGAAAGGCATGGGGGCTTTGGAAGAATGAGAGATAGATACATCAGGATCTGTGGCCCCACTGAGTCAAAGCCAAACTAACCAAATCTTGCCCAGGCTCCTACTGAGTTGGGCCCAAGTTCCTGGGTTTGCCAATGTCTCCCAGCCAGATAGTGCTGTCCACGGTTCACACTCTCATCAGAGAGGTCTACCTGCTAGCTCCCCTCATTCTTGTGATTTTCCATTCTCCTGCTGAGATGACACTACTTATCTCTAAGTGCTTTTAAATACCAAATTAGCAAGACAGTGAGGGGAGAGTGACAGAAAACAGTGCAGCCAGGGGACACAAGCTGTGTTTCCTAACTGGTATATACCTGTGAGAGGCTGGAGACTGAGACAAGTCCTTCAGTGTGCCCAAACCTAGAGAGGAAAAGACACTCCAGCCCATCTCACAGACCAGAACCCTGAGCTGACACGGGTGAGTGCAGGGTCTTATACTTAGAGGAAAACCAGACCCATCTCTCCGGTTCCATCACACCCATGAGCCCATCCTTCCAGGACAGTGTTGCCTTGGGAAACCTCAGGGGAGAGGCCACCTTTGCTAGCTGTGTGACCTTGGAACCTGGTCTTACCATGAGTCAAGAGGATTAATGGTGAATGGCTAAATAGCTGTAATGGACAGATATTCAAGACACCTTGATGGGGAGAATTACCACTGTGCAGTCCTCTGAGGACTAGATTCTCATCTAGTACAACCCTGTTCTTCCAAGATCCAAGGGCCCACTGAGTGCTCAGGAAATTGCTGATAAACTCCTGTACCTGGGGGAGAGTGGGTGGAAGAAGGTGCTTCAGAGAAGGCATGGCAGGCTGAGGTAGCCCTGCAGGAAAGAAGATGAAATCATGTGTTGGGGATGCCAGGCCTTGGTCTCCAGAACCAAGGGGAATGGGGAAGGGGAGGGATGTACCTGCACATAAGGGAGCAAAGTTGCTGAGGCTGAGGAGGACCCTTCTGGTAACAAAATGATTGAGGTCCTAGCTACAAGGTGGGGAGACCCTGAGTGGAACTGCAGAGCATTTAGGTGGGGGCAGCCAGCTGCAAATGTTTACCCAAGGGGGTGGGTGGGGAGGAGATGGGAGAGGAGAGGATGGAGGGGAAAGAGAAAGAGCCCATGTGCAGATGCGGCAGCATAGATTCAACTGTTGCCAGTTGTTAATTTTATATGTGAAGTTGTTGATCAGAATGTGATTTAATTGTACAGTATAATCCAGGCTTTTGGAATAAATTATGCAGAAAACTCATCTCTAATTAAACAAATTGAAAAACCAGAGACAGGTGACACTGCAGGTTTACCCTCAGAGGGCATGGATGGGTGTGGGTGGCTGGACCTAGCAGAGGGGTGAGGAAGAGAGGAAAAGAGGCCTGCTTAGAGTAGGCAGGGGCAGGTTCAGGTTCAGGAGAGGGTGGGCCTGGCAGGGGACCTGGGCTTGGACCCCCAGGTTCGGCCTCTGCAGGCTGTTCTCACCACACATGGAGGCACTTCTGACATCAAAGCTCTGCAGCCTCCACCGGGCAGCCTGTCTGGATACACGCTGTTCCTCCAGGAGCTTAAAACCCTCCCCTGAGTTTAATGGGACAGCCACTGTGTGTGAGGAGGGGCGGACACCGAGAGTGAAATGGTAAGTGAAGCAGGAGGGTGGGTGCTAGAACAGGATCTGGTTTGGACAGGAAAGGGGAGTAAGGGGGTAGACACAGCAGAAGCCCCTTGCTGTCAAGGGCACAGTGAATTAAGCTTGGCAATGGTGGTGGCCCCAGGTCTCTTGCTTCTCTCTTGACAGGCTGGCCAATTATTGTCCCAGCTCTTGGTGAGGAGTGATTTAAAATAAAGTGCTATTACTATTTAATTATTCTGATTATATTTCAGCTGGCCTGCC